CCTGCCTCCCCGCCCCAGGCCCTGCCTCCCTGCCCCCAGACTCTGCTTCCTGCCCCCAGGCCCTGCTTCCCCACCCCAGGCCCTGTCTCCCTGCCCCCAGACTCTGCTTCCTGCCCCCAGGCCCTGCCTCCCCGCCCCAGGCCCTGCCTCCCTGCCCCAGGCCCTGCCTCCCTGCCCCCAGGCCCTGCCTCCCTGCCCCAGCCGTGGGAGGGTGGGGCTCACCCCTGCTCCTGCTCTGGGAGGGGCAGGGTTGAGGAGGAGGCCAATGCTGTCCTCTCAAATCCTTCCTGGAGCAACCATGGGTGCAGCTGCGGCAGCGATGCCCAGTGTTAGAAAAGCCAGACCTAGCTCTGGTAGAAAGTGTCTGTGACGGAAGGCGCCTGCGCTGTTGTTTCTGTCCCCATCCTGGAGTGAGGGCACCAGAGGCTGGTGAAAGCCCAGCTTCAGGACCACCAACCTTCTGGCACTTTCTGAGACAAGTGGGGACGCTACATGTGCCTTGGCCAAAGGTTAGAAGGCCAAAGCACTCACGGGGCTGACGGGTACATGGGCTACTTGGCCGCAGCCTCATTTGTCCCTGAGCGCCGTGCGGCCGGCTGAGGCTGCCGGGAATCGGCGGGAATGCTCTGTTGCTGGCTGACACCAGGTCCGGACGGCTCGGCCACGCTGCCTGCCCTTCATGACCTGCCGCCCCCTCCCGCCCCGGCAACCACAGGGCTCAGGGTCCTCCCATCACTTGCAGACGCTGGCCTTCCAGGGAAGAGGAGCCACCCGAGGGACATCGGCCAGGACAGTGAGAATACACAGCAACCCTTAAAACTCATTTTTGACATCAGAGGTAAGCAGACGCCTGGCGGAGCACATCACGTTGGATGTCAGAGAGCCCCCAAATGGTCCCTGGCGACCTGCACGGGGACAAAACGGCCAGTGGGGGTGATCGGAGCATGCGTGCTCTGGGGCCCCCAGGAAGCTGGGTCTGGGGGCGCAGCATCTGGCCCTCGCAGCCGTGCCTGCCCCACGCCGGTCCTGTCCACAGGGCGGGAAAGCTCCGCTGGTCAGACCCGGGGGAAAGCAGCTTTTCCCGGGGGTCACAAGTGTGTTTTGTCACCACCCTGCACAGAAGAGGGATTCTGAGTCCTCGAGATTGTTGGGGTGCGAGCAGGACTGATGAGGCTGCTCAGCACCCTCGGGGGCAGAACCAGAGTCGGGGCAGGTGTTTTCACTGGATCTGGCGAACCCAGTCGTGGCTGAGGTGGGGGCGCGGTGTTTGTGGGGTCCTGGAGTCCTCTCGGGGCCAGCACCTCCGGTGGACCTCCAGCCGCGGGCTGATCACAGCCGGGCGTTTGGATAAATGCTACGGAAATCTGCCACCTGTTCCAGGCGAGCCTTGGGCCAGGTGAACGTGCTGAGCTGGGGGCCGGAGCACAGCCTGGACGAGGCTGCTATGGGCGAGGAGGTGGGTGTGAAAGCGACCCCACGGAACGGTTGGGCCTGGGTAGAGAGAACGCCCACCCTTTGTGCTTCCTTCCCACTCACAGGCACCCATGGGGACCCTTTTGGGTGTTCTGGTGGGGACACAGCCTGAGATGCCCCTCCCTGGAGATGGGGTGCCACCGCGGACAGAACCAGCCCGCGGCAGAGCTGCAACCACTACCTGGTGTCCTGAGGCCAGACCCGGACCCTACCAGCCACACTGTCGGCTGCCAGGAAGGGTCTGCAGGGATGGGGGGCATGCAGCCCCGCTTTCTTCCAAGATAGAAGTGCCTGGCCGTACCTGTGACCTGTGATGGCAGTGCAGTGCGAGCCCAATCCCAGAGCCCATGTGGCACCGGGACCCCAGGCTGCTCTGGGAGAGGCGGCAGGGCGTGGGAGGCACAGCCTGGGACTCAGGGACAGGAGGCTCTGAGCTGCATGCAGCAGCTTGGCCATCCGGCCTGGCTCAGCCAAAGGGGTCACCGTGTGTATAAGAGGACAGTGATGACACTTACCTGGTTGGCCACCGTGAGCACAGTGGGGCTACGCACCACGGCCTCACAGTCAGGCATCCAGTAGGTGCTCAATAAAGGCTGTTTCCTCCCTCCCTCCCTGTCTCCCTCCCTCCTGTCACTGGGCATCTGGGCCTGGGACCCGCATGAGCTCGCAGCCTTCCACCAGACCCCGGGGCCAGGCTGCCCTTCTCTGGGGAATTTTAGCTCTCTTCCTAACACAGTGGCCACAGGGCATTAGGGCTTGCTGTGTCCCGGGAAGAAAGCAGCTCATCTGCAGGAACAAGCGGCCCTCTTTGCAGCACTGTTTGCAGACGGCATCTCACTAAAGCGTGTGCGGGCAGAACCCGGGCGGCCAGTGGCCACGGTGCGCCAGCGCGTTCTGCCGCCGAACAGCTGATGTCAGCAGGCGGGCAGGATGCGAGATGAAGGGGGACAAGGAGCAAAAGGAAGGGGGACCACGCACCCCGAGGCCAACTGCTGGTGCGTCCCGGGGCCGGCGCGTGCGGCTAAAATTGAGGGCTTCAAAAACTGTTACCTGAGTTCTCAGTTTAATCATGTCGGCCTCCATCTGGGAGTTGGACTCATTGAGCTCCTTGATTTCTTCGTCTAACTGTTTGATTTCTTCATCGTTTTCTATGCCTGCACGGGTGACAGAACCGTGTTAAAGCTATCGAACGTGAAGACCTGAGTTAGAATTTTGACTTTTCTTTGTTCTTTTTGTATTTGGAACTGAATCTGCTGGACAAATATACTCTTGGATTAAAAACAAAAACCAGTGACAGTTCATGTGTCCGTCCATCCCTCCAGCTGCCCTCCTCGCGATCACAGCGCCTAAACTGCAGAGAAAATCAGCGGAGCGCATGCAACCCCTCCGCACTGCGTGCCAGAGTGCCGTCTCAGCCCACCAGAGCCGCCGCTACCACCCGACCCAGCCCAGAGCAGCTCCGTCCTGGAGGTGGGTGACCTGCTTCAGCCCATCACCTGCCTCCTTGGTCTGTTCCCTGTCTGTCTGTCTCTTTCTCCGCCGCCACTGGGGGGATGTGCCAGGCTGTGCAGACGCACCCTCGCCAGGCCCAGCACCGCTGCCCACAGGTGACCAAACCCCCTGAAGCCTGGAGTGCTCAGGGCCACCTCCCGCCCCCACTGCAAGGAAGCCCTGTGGTGGTGGAGGCAGGTTTCAGGGGTCTTCTGAAGGGCTCTCCGCACGGAGGACATTTAACTGATGCAAACAACTCCTCCCTTTGAATGCAGAAAACGCACATCCACTGACAAGGGCAGGATGGTGGCAGCCTTGTGTGTGCCCTGGGGGCCATGCTGGGTGCCTGGGCTGTTTGCTGGCAGCGGGATGCACCAGGGAAGGAACGATCCCGACCCTTCGTCGTTCTGGCCGTTGGGTCTCATGCGGCTGAATGTACTTGGGGAAGAAGAGCAGGATGCCTGCAGATGTCATCACCTTTGACAACCCGGGACACGGGTCACAGGGCACAGCACGGGATGCTTATGCGAAACCACGTGGAAGGCACGGAGCCCGGGCCTCGGGGGTCCCAGGGCAGATGCCCTTCTATGGGTCTGCGGACAGAAGGGGTGAGGCCACCTGGGAGGGAAGGCCCAAGACACGGAGGGACACTGCAGAGGCCCAGTGAGCAGGTCCTTCCTCCGGAATCTCTTCCCACAGACCCGCCTGGGGACATGCGGATCCTGAGCCTGCCGAGTCCCCCCCCCCAACAGGGACCGGCTGGGGCTCGCTGACCCCAAGCCTGGGTCTTGCAGCCCTGGCACCACCGCAGAGGCCCTGGGCGCATGTCCCTGGCCCTTGTGCCCCGGGTCCAGAGCAACTCTGGTCGCCATCAGATGCATCTCCGGAAGCAGTTCACGGCTCCCAGGAAACCCTTCCAGCGATGAGGTGTACCCTTTCTCAGGGGCGGGCTGTTACATTTTCCACCTCTCCACATGACACCAGACTTCTGTGGCAACTTTCACAATTAGGAGTTCAGCTGAGTGAGTTCCTGCACATAATACTTTGCACGCAGGAGACTCGTCCCAGGAGGTGGCCACCGTAATTATTGGAACGCCCGAGGCCTAAGCATCCTGATTTATATAAGCCCTTTATCCCCTAACTGGGGCTCACCACGTGTTCCTTTAAGTTGCAACCAGCCCAAGCTCGGAGGACAACTCCTGTGTGCACGGGGCCGTGACGGCCTCCACGCGACGGCCCCTCCATGCCTGGGGCTGTACTTTGTTCCGAGGGAATTTCTGCTCAGATTTCTTCATGTCATATTTCTTCAGTGTTTCAGGTGTGAACAATCTTAGAACTTCTCTCTTCGCAGCCGTGCGTGATAGTTCCCATGGAACACAGAACTGCATCAGCGCGAGGGACCATCTCGGGTTCTGGAAGCACGGGCAGATTTCCTCTTCTCTCCCACCCCCGAGGCCTGGTGTCTCTCCAGTGTCACACTACTTTGAAAGACACTGTTATTCCCTCAGAAGCACACTTCTCCGGGCCCCTGCAGTGGGGGGACTGTCTCTCCCCAGGGTCCCTCCCAGGGCTGTGTGTGAATGCACTGCCCAGAGGAAAAGCAATCAATGAACAAAAGAACAGGTTTCTTATATCCATTAGATAAGAATTCTAATTTTTTATGTATGTATGGTGGCTTAAAGTGTCAAAGAGTAGACCTGCTGCGTTTTGAGAAGGTAACCACCGTGGTGGATCCCGCACTGGACGGCTGGTGCAGCTCCTTTCCAGGACCGTCATTGGATCGGGACATTGATTTTGGTCACTTCCTGATGGCGCAGGTGATAAATGCTCTGTGCACATGCCTGGTCCCAACATCAAGATAGCGTGTTTCCACTGAGAATGTATGAGTGGAATTATGAACGAAACAACTCGTTTCGGGACAGGCCGTTTGGAGATCACCACGTAATCATAAAGCCCAGAGAACTGTGGGGGAAATAGTGGGGCTAAGGGTTGCAATGAAATCATCTTAAGTGCCTTGTTAGACATGCTTTATCCATGGTAGCTGATATAAAGTGAAGCATATAGAACAGCCTGAAATGTCAACATGTCCTGGCCCTGGAATCTGGCAAATGCAAGCTTAGAAGTTGGATAAAGTTCTGAGAAGAGCACGTGGCTCCCCAGAATATGGCTGAAATCTTGGAGGTCCATTTAACAGATCTGAATTTTTACAAAAGAGCGTCCAGCAAAGACTACTTTCTATTTAACTTTCATGGGAACCAACACGTAAGCAGAGGCAGAGATCACACAACCTGGGATAGATATTTCCCAAAGGCTGGGCGCATTTCTGAACCGCCCTCGTGTGGGGTTTGAGAAGTCGGGGGTTACAGCCTGGGATCTGAAACATGATGGACCTGGGATCTAAATCCATGTCTTTCCACTTAAGAGTTTTGTGATGAGTAATTTTCTTAGTCCTTCTAAACCTCCAATTCGTCCACTGCAAAGTGTCCCTCCCTGACACAGAGGTAGGAAGAGATAACTAAATCTACATAAGACACCTGACTCAGTGGGACTAGAAAAGACTGTTGAAGATCAGGAGTTGCCTCAGAAGCCAGAGGGCCCTGAGCATCCATGGGCTCCGTGCTTACCTGCCTGAAATGTGGCACAGGCTGGTTTTGTCCTGCTAACTCAGTGCTGCGAGCTGACAAATCATTTAAAGGAAGAGAAAGAGCAAAAATATGGTATGTGGTCTAGCACTATGGGCCTCATTTTTTGTTGAATTAAAGAATTAAAAAAAATTTCTTTTTATAAGTCTTAAAGTCGTCCTCTAAATTTCTTATTCTAAATTTTTATATATATATAATATATATATAATATATTATATATATATATCTCCAAAATTGTATGCTGCAGAGTGCCTTAAATATATGTCCATCAAAACCTGGACCAAAATGTTCAGTTTGTAAGATTTACGGGAGATGTCCACTACATAAACCAACTGGCTGATCACGCGTCATCACCAAACCAGTCTGCAGTTCAGATCAACTTCCTGAGAGAGGTCATTTTAAGTCCGGTGAAACTACAGCAAGGGTTGCCGTGGTGGCCTTCCCATCTCTGATTTTCCCTCTGGGAGTGCTGAACGGATGGACCCGTGAGCATCAGAGGCTCTGCCTCCAGGAAACAGGAGCAGGCTGCCCGCCGTGTCTCCCCATGAGGCGCTCTTGCCTGGCCCGCCGGCACTCCAGGCTGCACCCTCAGAGCCCAGCTGTCCGGGCGCCCTCTTGGGTGCCAGCAAGCACTTCGGCCCAACTCTGAGCGGCCTTTCTCCCGTGAAGGTGGGGTGAGCAGCACACCATGAGGGGCAGGGAGACGGACGGACCCTCAGTCCCCTGGGTTCAGGAGAGAGTCAGGAGGAATTTGAGTGTCTGGAAACGAATTTCCTTAAAGCCACGTATGTGCGCCTGCCCCTAGGACACCCCGAGGGCCCCAGGGCTCGGCGCAAGGCCCACTCCTGGAGAGGGGAGAGCACCGGACCTGGGAGCGCAGACCAGGGTGCAGCGGGGATGGGGACGGCACCCCGGGAAGCCAGTGTCCTTGGCCTGCTTGTTGATGCCTGTGTCTCAGGGTGACACCTGCAACCCCCCGTGGGGCCCTCCCCTCAAGGGCGGCTAAGCTAGAGCTAAACCTTTGTAACTACCTGCCGCAGGTGAGACCACTTGCCGGGGCAGGGGCCCGACAGAGTGTCGCCTGCAGCTCCTTGTGCAACAGAAGTCACAGCCCTTCCCTCAGCTTCCTGTCTTCTATGATAATAGAGGAAAGAAAAAGGAGGGCTTATCTCATTTCCTTCTGGGCAAAAACCAACAAAAACCCATCACAGAGCCAGGGACAGCCAGGCTGCCGGGGGTGATGCGGGCGCGGGGGGGGGGGGGGGGGGGGGGGGCGGCGGCAGGGACGGCAGGCAGCCACGGTAATGTCTCACCACACCGGCCGCTCTGGAGCTCATTCATGGGAGAGAAGTCACAGTGACCTTGTGTGGGAACAGATGAAAGCAGACTCTTCTCCCAGCTTGAAGAATGATCGAGGAGGAGGGAGGGACAGGCGGGCCCAGGACTTCCGGGCTTCAAGGACACTTAGAATAGCTCCTTTCCAAGCAGGTGCACACTCGAGGGAAGGCCCTGGGAGCCCAGCGCAGGGGCTGCCTCGCCAAGTCAGCCCCAACCACGCAACGGTGGTCTCCTTGAGGTCTTGGCGCTCCGTGCAGGCCAGGGTGTGGAAGGAGGGGAGCTTCCGGACACGTGTGTTAGGAATGTGTAAAAGCAAGAGGTAAGATTCTACACTCCAGATATTCAAGGAGAGAGATGGAGCGAGGTAGCACCAAAGCCAGATCTTTTGATTCTGAAGGATGGGCAAAGAGTTGCTGAGGAAGGCGGGGTGCTCACACCCTGTCCCCCGCGGAGCAGCAACACGCTGCCCCTGAGGTAGCCACACAGGGTGCAGGTGATGCCTGACTATCCACGTCCTGTGCCACAGCCGTGGCATGGAACGAAGTGGCCTCCAGGCTTAGTGAGAATGACCCTGGTCTGCACAGACGAGACATGACAGGCTGCAGCCTGGCCCTGGGCTCGTGGAGACCCGCCTGGACCGGCTTCCACGGCTCACTCTGGGCACAGAGCATCCTCGCGGCACGCACGCGCTCACCAGAACCCGCCGCAGAGAGCCGGGCTCCTGCCCTGACCCTGGAATCAGGCCTCCCGTGTCCAGGTGCAGACCCGGACGCCGTGTGCGGTTGCCCGTGGGATGGAGCTGTCCTGCCCAGACCGCCGCTCATGCTCCCATCCCCGAGAAAGTGCTGGTTCTGCGGGCAGCCACGCCTGGCGTGGCCAGAGGACTCTGGGTTCCGCTGTCCCTCGGAAGAGACACGGCCCTTTGTGGTCCTGAGACGCATGCCCCGTGACTTCCCGCCGACAGAACGGCCCCTTGTCCAGGTTTGCGGATCCGCTTGTTTCCTTTCCTTTCCTGCTCTGCGCTGGCCACCCAGCTCACAGCTGCCTCCTTCGCTGACGAGTCAGAAGCTGACAAAGCAGACCCACTGGCCCACGGAGTCTTGCTTGGGCACAGGGTTGTCTGGGGGGACAGGCGACGCGGGACGTTTTGGAAAGAGTGTCGGGGCAGTTTCTTCCGGGGTGATGAACGCTGCCCTGCGACGCCCAAGACGAGCAACATGGTGGCCCTGGCGTCTCAGGGAGGCAGCCCCACATGGGGCCTCAGGTTCGGGTGACTGTGTGGGTCCCAGAACGTGTGGGAGGCGGCGCTCGGTCTAACCATGCTCCCAGCCTCCAGCAGCCAGCACCTGTCCAGCAGAAGCTGGAGGCTGGAGCCCACGCCAGCAAGATGCAAACACCATGACCCTCGCCGTCTCCCGGTCCGTGGCCAGCCACACATTAAGGACTGTTTAGTGCAGGCCATGCACAGAGGCCCCAAGCTGTTGTCAGGACCTGTCATGAACGGTCAGGTGACCGGCGGAGGCCGCGGGGCCCTGGCCCACCTGGCCTTCCCACAAGCGGAGGCAGCCTCACACAGAGCCTCAGCACAGGAGGCTGGGGTCCACGGGGCCAGAGCCGTGGCACGTAGCTCCTGGGATGGGTCCAGGGACTTTGCCCAGGCGTGACCCACATCCTGCAGTGCTCAATGCTCTGAGGAGCCCACAGTGAGGGCAGTGCCTGCCCCGGGCCTCTGCTGCCCCAGCGTCACGGTTGGCCCGGCTCCGCGTCAGCCCCCTGCTCACAAGGTCCTCCTGCCCCCCAAGGCCACAGTTTGCTGAGCAGTTGTAGATTACGCTCTGTTCCATAGTCCCTGGAGTGACGTCCTCCGGAGTCTCCGCCAACCCCGAGTTAGCTGCTCCCCCCGGGCGCCTCTGCTCATTTTCATCGGTCTGTCAGTGTGTACGGTTGTGTTATGTGTATTTCTGCTGGAAGAGACCTTCCTGCATGCACAGTGCTGCTTCATGAACTCCGACCTCATGACCAGTGGCACATGACTTGGCATGGGCGGGGCTCACCTAATACACCTGTGTCCCCGTGGGTGCCTCACAGCTCTGGTGCAAGGAGCACTCGCCTGCTCCACGTGTGGGGGCCTTTCATGCAGAAATCACCAACAAAAGCTCCCCAAATTTGGAAAGTGTCCCACTTAGGAGACTACGGAAAGGACCCTGTTACAGGATGAGCGTGGCCTCATCCCCTCAGCCAGCAGACACTTCTCCCACCCTGCCACGTCCCCAGGGACCACAAAAACACCACGAGTACTGACTTTGGGGTCCCAGAGGGACTCTGGCGCAGTGGGGTTCAAAAGGATGAAGCTGGGCCCCTGGCCCTCCCGGGGGACCCCTGCACTCTGCTCCCTGGGGCGCCCACAGGCACGTGGAGGGAGACGGCGCTTGTGCATGGTCAGGCCCGTCCACTGGGAGGCTGAGCTTGGAGGGGACAGGAGTGGTTCTGGGGAGCAAATCACTGAGACCATCAGGGGTCCCAGCAAGCGGTGATTTTGGGGATGCCCCTCGTCCAAGCAAGTGGACTGGCTTCCTAGACGTGGCCGGAATAATCCCGCCCAGGCTCTCGAAGCACAGGGGCTGCCACTGTCTGGGGCTCCAGCTGGGCAGGATGGACCGGGGCTGGGGCCGCCCGGGGAGGCGTGCTCACCGTTGCTGGCCCGTTGTCGGATAGTCAGCATCTGCTCTCCCGACAGCTTCGCCTTCTTCATGGCTGACGTGGCTCGTGGGCACCCCGACAAGCTGGGGACAAGACACAAGGGGGTATGAGTTATGGGTCTCGGAAGAAGAGCCCCCAGCCCTGCAGCGAGAAGAGTCGGGAGCCTGGCACGTCACCGAGGCATTTTATCAGACTGGTTGCCGGCAAAGGGCTTTGTGCCAATGGGAAATGAGCCCGAGCAGCGGACGCGTGTGGCCCGCTCCCTGCACACGAGGGAGGCTGCGTCTGCCTGTGGATCAGGGGCAGTTCCAGGCTGACACACGGTGGGTCGGGGCCTCAGCGGAAGTCACAGCGGCCGGGCTCCAGGCCGGAGTGGACACGCCCCTCACCGCATGCCTCCTGGAGCTGCTTGGGGTTTTCTATGGAGCGACTATCTGGAAAATTCCTTACTGTGGAAAGTGTCAAACTTACATAAGGCCTGAATTAAGATTTGCTTTTAAACATACAGATGTAGAAAGATCGAATAAGGAGCTCAGCCCAGGTTCAACGGTTCTGTCTCACGGCACTTCTGTCTCCCCCTGCCCCATCCTGCCTCCAGTAGATTATTGGGGGGTGGCAGCAGGTGTAAAAACAGAACCCCAATTTCACGACCTCACTTGAAGGTTTAAAACCCGTTTGCCGCTGACATCAAATGTGCGGCCTCTTTGCAAACTTCCTGGCTGCCCCTGACGTTGCTAACACTGGTCCTCTCTGGGTGCACACGCTCTGCACCTGGAAATGGGTCCATGCGCCTGACCACTGTCTTCGCAGGACAGCTCCCCTCCCTCCTTCCCTTTCGTTCTGTGTATGCATGGAGGACGATTCTGTGTCCCGAGCACCTTCTGTGGCCCCGAGCCTGGGCTGCTTCATACCCGCCCCTGGGGGGCTCACCCCTCACACTCCCCCGGCCACCATCTGAGGGCACCCACAGGGGGCCCCCAGCCCTCGTGACATGAAAACTGTACATTTGCACACGGCTGTATGTCCAGTATTACATGTATATTTACATCACACATGCGTTTCATCCATAATTCGGTGCCAGATGGCCTCTGTTCACAGCCTGGGGATGCTTTTGGGGGCTGATCTGTACCTGTATCCATCCAACACCCAACGGCAGTGTGGATTACATGGTTATTAGCAATAACTAGTATTGTCTACATTAATGTAAGGATGCTTTCCAAGTATCTTCACACAGATTTTCTCACAGTTCACACCGATGTCCACCGATGTCCGATGTTGTCTTTGATGAGCCATCGGTGAGGGGTCTGTACTTGGTGGCCGCACAGAGGATCCGGGAGATGCTGAGTCATCTGTCGCTCTTCCCGGGACCATGCTGCTGTGAACCGTGTTTGCAGGTGGTGTTTTAGATTGACAGGCGTGAGTCCTCGGGGACTCTCAGGTCCCTCTCCTCCTCCTCCGCCCACCTCCAAGGTCTTCTCAGGACCCTGTGCCCGATGTCCACAGGTGCAGTTTGTTGGTGTCTGTGTCTGCCCCCTGGCCCCGCTGTTAAAAAGCAGGCCCGGCCCGCCTCCAGTCCCCGGGTCTCGGGAGGGCACCCGGTGGAGCCGGCCAGTTCGCATCCTTGTTGTCTTTCCCTATCTGCGCTCGTCAGGGCTGTTTCTCAGAGGCCGTCTCCTTGCCAGCCCAGTCCAGAGGCTCCCGTACACTCGGCATCTCCCCGCCCGATCCTCCTGTCCTGAGAAGTTAGTGACGCCACAGAGCGTGGGCGCACAGCAGAGAAGGGATCAGTGAAGCGAAGCCGGCGGAGCAGACGCACCCGGGTCCTCCTGTGGGACCTACAGTGCTGGTCCCAGACCTGAGCACAGCAGCGGCACCTGAACACCGTTTAAACACGACTCCCAGAGCCGCGGACGTGCAGAACCCGGTTTGATCTTCCCTCGCTTCTCTCAGTTTGCAGGTATCGAAAGGGCCAGCTAGGGATGCAGACGATGGTGTCATTGCAGGAGCTGTCCCCTGAAGCTGGGACACTGAATCAGGGCAGAGACGGGCCCACGGAGTGACGTGCTTCGTTCAAGCACGCCAGCCTGCGCACAGGGACTGCACGATCCACCTGGGTCCAACGTGGAAGCGTCCCCTGGCCCTGACCTGGGTGCAGGGTGGGTCTGTGTGCATCCAGTGGCGGCTTGCGCTGACCTCGAGTCCTGGTGTGCTGGCTCCTGGGGCCCCGGATGGCTGGAGGACTCAGGGAAATGTCCCACGTCTGTCCCCTTCCAGGAGTGAACCCCGAGCACTCAGTATGGTTCCCTCGGAGACCCAGTGGCCATTATGGAAACTCCTCTAATTAAAACTGCATTGCTCCGAGTGGGGGTTTGGAAAGTTGCAGAATCTTAGTTCTGGTCCCTCTGGGCACCAAATAGCTAACCGGTGGCCCCTCAGCTTGCAGCCCTGAGATGTCCAGCTGCAGCGGCAGCACCAGCACGGCCAGTGTGGGCTCCAGGCAGGTGCTTCAGAGGGAGAGAGGGAGGCAGACGTTTGATCGGGACACCGGCCCCACAGGGACCTCCTTCAGGAGAATCCATCCGCTGAAAAGAGCTTTGTAAGTGGACATTTCCGGGATGTGTGGTTATAAAGACATAGAGGCAGGGAGGCTCGTCCATTCAAGGGACACAGGCTGGCTTGCGAGCAAACTGGCATGTGCAGTCCGGAGGCTTTTCGCCGCCCGGGGAGCGGCTGGGGCAGAACATTTAGAGACGCAGGACTCGGACGGATCGTGCAGGGTGGTGCCGGTGGCTCAGCACCTTGCCTGGAGGGACACTCCCGGGGCAAACAGCCTATTTCAAGCCAAGTTTCACCACCTCAATACCGTATTTTACTTTTTCCGGCCTCACCTTGCTCTGAGGACCCTCTTACGATGTAACTTCTCACTTGCAAAAGAGGAGATCCAGTGGGTGCCGCTGGGCCCGCAGCACAGACACCTGCTAACGCTCTGGGTTACAGCCCCACCGGCTTCTGCCAGCCCGCTCATGAGGACAAGGCTTGGCGTGGGTGGCCGGACGCTGATGCTACGGGTGTGGGACGCCTGCACTGGGCTTGCTTCCTGGCACTCCAGGGTCTCAAGATGCCCAGCCCAGGATGTGTGGGGAGAGGGCAGACGCTGGCACACTGCCCTGGGGAAGGCCGGCCGCCCTGGCCGGAGGGTCACCCGGCAGGAGGGTCACCTGGCAGGACGGCCTGGGGACAGTGTCCTGCGCCCTGGCCCCCAGTCCCCAGCCCCCACACGGCGCCCGAGGAGGGCTTCTTGCCCTGACTCTGCTGCTCTCTGGGGGACCCTTGTCCAGCACGTGCCCTGTCACGGTCACTCTGGTTCCTCGATGGCGCCTTCTCAAAGCTCACCCCCCGGAGGCGGAAGCTGCTGACAGAGCCCTGGAGCCCTCAGCGCCCGTGCCCGGGGACGCTTCCCCTGCGCTCTCCGTGCTGACCCTCTTTCCTCTGCTCCTCTCTTCTCCCACCTGCTGGAGACTCCTGTGAGCCGGCTGGAAAGCCCCACGGATTCTTCCTCTAGTTTTGTTTTAAAATTGTCTTCTTTTCTCATTTTATAATTTAAGAGAGATTTCCTCAACTTTACACTCTAACCTAACTGAACTTTTTATTTCACTTGTCTTTGTTTCAAAGAGATCTTTCTTGTTCTCTTGATTTTTCTTGGATTATGAAGAGAGTAAGTCATACTCTTCCGTTTATTCTCCTTTTCTATTGGATGACAAATTAAAAAAAATTTCTCTTTCCAGAAATGTCAGTTTTCTCTGAGCTTTTCTTTCCTTTTTGAAGGCTGTTTTGCTTTCTGCCACGTTACTTAGTGCTTCCCTTAAATGGCTGGTCATCTCCCGAGTATCTCCTGCTGAGGCCTGTCTCGGGGGCCTGCAGATTTCGGGGGGGGGCTCTGCTCCTGTCTGGAGGTCGTGGGGGACGCACGCAGGCCGAGGCTGTGGTCACAGCAGCTTGGGAACCAGAGGCGGAGGGCCTCGCCCTGCACTGGGCGTTCCTGCCTCCCACCCCCTGGGGTCCCCGGCGTGGAGTGCCCCTTCCGCTGGGCGAGGGGGGCACGAGGCCGGACATCTGGAGCCCCACTCTTCCTACAGAGACTTCCACTTCCTGCTGTTTCCGAGGCTGCCCTGAATCCCGCTGCAGGGTCTTGGGGCCCACACGCCTGGCTTCCACCCCCCGCGCGTCCATCGGGCACCGCTGTTCGTCTGTCCCCGCAGAGCTGGACCCGAGCCCTGCGTCCCCCAGCACCTCAGCTCCCATGACGCCGTGCAGGTGAGGGAACACTCTTTGCTTTCTTCATTTTCATTATTTTTATTTCGTGGATTTATAGAAGGAGAGCAGGCCATTTCAGTAGAGTTTTGAGATCGGTGGAGATAAATGCGTTTTCAGGCTGCGGACCGGGATTCCCAGAGAGACGGCTGCCACCACCGGGCCCGTAGTCTGCACCGAAGGTGCTCTCCTCTCCCCTTCCTGTGGGCCAGGGTGGCAGGAACCCAGCTGCTCCTCGACCTCAAGGAGGACTCTGGCATGTCGCGACCCGGGCGGCCAGCGCCTGGGTGAGGTGAGGCCCCAGGAGGACTCTCAGTCCAGGGGACAGACGGAACCTCCGATTGGGCGCCGGAGCGTCAGCGGCCCCTGGCCCCTCCTCAGCGACAGGAGCCCCCGAGAGGAAGCTCCGAGCGCCCGCTGGTGGAGCAGCGGGGGCCGGGGTCTGACAGTCACAAGCCGCCACTCAGCCTGGCCCCTGCGTACCTGACAGGGAACCTGAACCTTGTTGAGCCCCTGCTTGGGTTTTGTGCTGAGGAAGCTCATCCTGACAGACACTGAGGACTTGGTTTCTCTTTTTGTCTCTCCTTCTGCTTGCGAGCTAAATTCCGCATCTTTCATTGCCGTGGGTCAGTTGTCCCCCCGAGAAGACGTGCTGACGTCCCAGTGCCCAGAACCTGTGAGGAGGACCCTTTTGGAAAGGGGGTCTCTGCGATGTGAGCAGGCTGAGAAGGAGGTACGCGGACCCAGTGACCTCTGCCGCAGGGATGGCACT